TTTTTTTTTATTGAAATGTTAATTAAGGTGTCCACTTAGCTTTAAGGTTACTAATTTTTATTTGTTTAAACAAAATTACTTTGTTACAATATAATATTCTAATACCAAAAAAAGTACGTGCGTGGCGTGAAAATATCTTTTGTGATCTAACTCTTTCAAAAGTACATAAAAATGATTGCCATCAGGGGTGTACATGTAGATTTATTAAATACACCTTGTGTGCCACCTAGGAACCAAATCTAGAACCCGACACTCGACATTTTTGCTCTGTTACAATCGTACCCTGTTACAATTGACCCCACTCTCCCCTACTGTTCAACGACCGAACTTAGGACCTTTGATTACATAGATTTTACTAGCACTTATATCGCATGTACTCAGTTCGTCTGAGCGACTTCGAAGAGCAAACACCTGTCCTTCTGCACAGCGAAGTCTGATGCCTTAATCCAGGGCTACTACAGCCCGAATATGTATATATTTATTGTTTATCCATATAGCTTTTGAATCAGATTTAGTAAAGAAATAATCAAAAACTAATAATTTTAAAAACTCTTGAAAAGAGACTAAAAGCTTGGAGCTATTGTATGTTATAATAAAAATCTTGCAATATAACGGAAATACGTCGTAGACTCTTTTTAAAATCAGCATATTTTTCATAGAGTCAAAACAAAAACAAAAAACTTACTCATGTGACCATTGTTCATAATCATGACTCTGCCTATGGGTTCATCATAGCCATGAAGTTGCAGTCTCTGACGCTCTCCACTGCTCACAGTGTCTCTCGTTATTATGTTAACCGGAGATTGAGAATTTCCACTACAATTAGGATACTTATCGCCCCAATGCAGTGGACCTAATAGAATGAACTCAAATAAGGACAGAGATACCGCTTTGCTACGCTTTGTCAATAAATATTTTCTAGTGTTAACGAAATTTAGGTAATTTTTAGTTTAGTATTTTTCATTTTAAATAATTTGTCCGCCACAATTAATTGAAAATTCAGAATTTCATACCAAGGCAGATTTTTTTTTAAATTGTGACATTTTATTAAAAAAAAAGAGGCGTATTTTTACGTATTTAACAATTTATTAAAAGTTCTGCAGAAAGCGGAGCAGTTGGCATCACTGTAAGTATGTAAAAATTTAGGCTTATTCTGCTGCATAAAACTTGTTTTCATTTTAGTTTGTTATTATGTTAGTCCGTGTTGTACTTGGATATTTTATTACTTTGAAATAAGATGTAGCGAATTTTAAAAAAAAATATTTAAACTATTTTTAGGATTCATAGTTAATTTGAATCAAGACAGAAAAAAATATAGTTGGTATTAATACCATTTCTATAATAATTGGTTTTTCTAAAGCTAGTTTCCAAGCTATAGCATTTCTTAGAGCTATAGATTTCATGTCCTAAAATTTATTAACAATCATATGATCAAAACTGCCAACTGCAAAAAGTTTTGGGGAAAAAAATTTTGATTGGTAGACAACGAAACACAGAAACTTTCAGCTTATTGGTAAATTTTGCAAGCGTTTTAAAAGCTACAGCATGAGAGAACTAAAGCAAAGTGGCCTTTTATATAACCTTTTGAATCATTCGGATGTAGCGAGGTGAAAAATTATTTTAAATAAAACTTACTAACTAAAGAATCATGCATTAAAACATGAAATTTGCCACCACTAGAGGAAATATTTCCCACTAAAGGTATGCAAAGTTGGTAGCCCTAAACATATATATATATAATACATATCAGATAAGATACTGATATATATAATATACTGAACCATAATATACATATGAGAATATTTTTAATTGGGAAAAAGAAAATGTTGATAAATAGTTTATAATTAAGAACAGTGGAAGACTTTTAATTTTATATCATTTTTTAAAACCTCATGGCTGTAAGAGTGTAGGTGTTAACTTATCACTCAAACTATTTAAAGCGGTTATACCGTTAATACACTTAATTAATTGATTTTTGATGAAAAAAAATTGTGTCACCAAACATTTTAATTTTTATATATACATAAAATAAGCATGTTGAAAATCTGACTCTCGTTTTGAGAATATTTTAAGTGCTGGTGAAATTAAACAAATTTTTCCTTCATTAGCAGTTTCTTCATCTCCGCATGAAATATTTTGGATGCTAGATTGACATGAATGTGTAAGAGATAAAATATGCACGCCTGTTATAATAAATCTAAAGAGTAATAACCAATATTTCTTTTCATCAGCAGCTTTGTTATTTTATTATAAATAACACCTAAAACTTCCTATTCACCGCTGTGCGCTTTCCCATTTTTTAAGGGAAATTAATCGATTTGAAGAGATTAATTGAATTTCTTCTTGTAATGTATATGGCCTCGTTAAACTGTCCCACCATAAAGTGCTCGACTTCATGCGTAAGTCTTCAGGTTACCAAATTTGAGAGTTATCCCCTCTGCAGAGGATCAAAATCGCAATGGCATATTTTACGGATCATTCTCAGGTATGTTTCGAAGACCGTCACCAATAACCCATTATGCAGCTAAAGTGTGACGTAAATAAAGCACCTACCTACCTCTTGCTATTTACTTTTTGAATCAGATCATTTTCGAGGTGAATCATTTAAGCATTTGAGATTCCTATCCTACTTAGACACCATTGTTATCTTATCATTGTTTAAACAAGTGAGGCATTGTTTCCTTTTCCTCTTTATTACTTAATGCTTAATCGAATGAGGCTGTTCACGAATCAAAAGAACGAATAATTGAAAAGCTATTTTTCGTATAAAAAGAATTTCATACTCTTGACGTGTTTTTCTGTAAATTTTATACTCTACTATCTATAGTTTATCTGAACACATTTTCTGAATACTGGCGACACATTATCCGATTTAATTTTTTATGCTGAATTGAATGAAATATAGTTAGTGTCAGTAAATAGTTTTAAAGTAATAGTGTGTTTTTTCATAGTACGTACAAGCCAAAAATAGTGCTTTTTATACAAACGAAGCCCATTGTTACTTTTCAAATATTACCCCTTTTGCTTATGTTTAGTTTAAAACGATTAAGCTATAAAATACATAGGCTATACATACATGTCTCCGGGTCATCCTCAGGGATGTTTCCCAGACCGTCACCAGTAGCCCACTGTGGAGCTCTAGTGCGACGCAAATAAAGTACCTACATGCCAATCTTAAAAAAAGCTAGTGGAGCCAATGTGGCTCAGGGAATAGGGCGTATGCCTCCCAATGACGTCACGGACGTCACGGTGAACGGACGTCACGGTGAACGTTGACAACACTGGTCTAGTAACCAGTTTGTACTCTATATCCACGCCCTCTAGTGAACTGCGGTTTTTGTTTATTGCAGCTGTACATAATTTGTTCTTTTTTTATTTGATTTATATAAGTTGTAATGATTAATAATAATTGATAACATTTAGTTTCTTTGCCAGAAAAATCTGAAATTCGCAAATTNGATTGATACGAATACGACCGCGGTGCTGACATGAATTATCCACTGTATTTTACGGATCGTGGGTTGCAATCCCCTTGCCGTAGAAGGTTCTCGCAGTTTTCCTCTCTATGTAACGGAAATGCGGGGTAGTCCTATCAAGAAGTCCTTAACGAATTTTAGTTTATCCCAAAGTTTAATCCAGGAGTTCCATTGTCTTCTGGATAGAGTTCAAAATTACAAGCATTGATAGTTGTAAATTCAAAATTGGATCGGATGTTCAAAGCTGGTTATAAAATAGAAACAGGCAAGAGCAGAAAGGCGAGTAAGGAATTTTTCTGCTATCATTTATAGTAACATAACAAAGCTTTCTATAAAATCTATATATTGTCGGTCAATTTTTCCGCAAAAGCTCCGTCTTTTTTGCAATAATTACATTACTATGTCAAATTGAAATATTATTTTATGAAAATCCTTATTCCTACTTATGAATCTCCTTATGCATATACCATCATAATCATGCAAAGTTTAAAGCTCTAAATAAATAGTAAACATACGAGTGATTTAATTTCAAAGTGGCCGGATTACTTATTGATCAAAAAGGACATCACTATGGGTGAGAAGTGAGATTTTATGCATTGGGTAGTGTTTGCTTTAACTTCGGCTACAGTATTCACTTTCACGTGTGCTATACATTTATGTTGCTGTGTGCATTATACATTCTAAACATTTGTACGAAAAACTAAAAGATGTCTACAATCACCATACTTATATTAATTATCTATCAGGACCCAGTAGTACTGATAATATTTTCCCTGATATCAGTGCCTTTTTAAAATTAAGTAAATTGAATATTTGTTTTCGATTGAACAGCCATTTCTTTTATTAAATGCTTTTTTTTCTTAAACTTTGGGCTTGAAAACACATTTGAAAATTAATGTAGTTCTATATCTTGAGACTATAATAAATCAATAATAAATTAATTAAATCGAAATAAAGCATAAAAAACTAGCTTGTTTAAAGGCAGAATTTTCAGCAATTTTCCAAAATCGCTGCGAAGCCGGACAATACGTACCATCTATCCTTTCCCCACAAGTAGTGATGTCATTTTCGATCAATAGCATGATCCGGTCACTTTGAAGTTCATGTGCTCGTGTAAATATATGCAGCGATTGCCAAGAATCATATTTTCAGAGCAGATTCTTTTTTATAAACATTGTGATTGGACAAGAGTTTCAGTATTATCATTTGTTTTTCAGGCGAATCAAAAAAATTTTACCCATCATAATTTAACAATGATTTTGGTATCTTTGTAAGATAATTAAGAATTATAAGTAACCGTGTGTAAATAAATGCATCATCGATACTAGTAAATAAAATAATTATAACTACGAAAAAATAATAATATTCGAATAAAATACTTGCTTATGCAATGACTTACCGTTAGGTAAGCTTAAATCATAAGACCAATCCTTGTCTTCGTCAGCAGGGCAATCTTCTGCAGATACGATTGCAAAACCTGTAATACATTTATTTGCTTTTTGGACTTTTTTTTACATTAGCAACATCTAATAATTTCTTAGTCTTTAGGAAATTTTAAAAAAAGTGCCGCCGGTTCAGAATTCAATCAAAATTCTGGTTCAGAATTGGAGATTTGTATAAGGTACATAATTGTATGAATACAGAAGCTTCTGCGATTCTTTTAAACTTTAAAAAGCGGTGGTAGTATTCTAAAAAGAAAGCTAAAAAGTTTCTTTTTCTTAACTGACTTTAAAATTAGAATACAAATCAGTGATTTTACAACTTAATATATTTATTTGGAAATATCGATTGTAGTGATGAATAAGAATTTAGTAAAATACATCTCTTTTCATACATTTAATACTACTTTTTAAGACGTGTGCGGTACCAGTACATATAAAAAATTTTCTTTATATATAGAGATTAACCCTTTGCTTATGGTATGCAATGTTGTACCCGCCGTAAGCATGAGGTTAAACGATTTTCTTAAACGTTTTTGTTAGATTGGTTAACAAAGAGTAATTATATAATTGTCAATTTATAAGGGCGTTGATAAAACTTTCTGTTACTTGAAACAACATTTATGTAAAATCTAAAATTCCAGAATTTTGAAGTTTAAAAAAATTTATTTTACCTTCAAAGAAATACCAATAGTTTAAATATGTGTCTATAATTTGTCTACGTCTAATACGTATAAAATATAATTTGTCTACGTTAAATATTTGTCTGAGTCTGATCTATAACTTAAGCAGTTATACTTTAGAATGTTAGTAAATTAGATTAATTTGTAAACTTTTATTATTATTTTATAACCATTTCATAAAAACTTTATCAGCGAACCTACAAGTTAGCAAATATGTAATAAAAAAATACCCGAGATGTTTTGTTTTTTTTTAAATTTGAAAAATATAAAGTAGTAAGAATAGAAATAACTTACAAAAAGAGTAAATAACTAAAGATAAAGCTAACTGCACAAAACGCTTATAATCCATGGTGCTTTCGTTTACTGAGAAGTGAATGATTTGCTTAATTGTGAATTCACTGTTCTTATACTCATTTCCAATCATTTCCTGTTATCTAATAAAGGTTTCATAAATTAATCATTGCGAATCAGTGTCAATTTTGTTTTTAAACACTCGGACTGTTTTTTGAAATTACTAGTCAAAATTGCAACGGTATTTCCCCATCGATCTCGAAGATTATGATTGATAAAAAACAAAGGTGAAAATTATGCGTGGTGACATAGTACTTTTAATGCAAATCTCATGGAGGCTAATTGGGAATTGAACCTATTAATAGAAGTTTCGCGAAACAACATCTATTAGATTTTAACCTAAATCATCATTTTGTAATTCATTACAAATTTTTAACTCGTAGCAGACACTTTTGTTTTTATCATGTTTCATCTACATCATCATTTTTGTGTTAAACTTTATCATCATGTAGAATGTGCCTAGTATAAAAAAAAGTATTTTTTATAAGAATTTAAATATTAAGAAAAACATTTCCGGTTTTTTAATAACTGATCTACATAAATGTAATATTAATTAATAAACTTATCCTACGGAGAAAGTTCATTACTAGAAATAGTAGTTCATTTTCATAGGTAAGTAGACAAGAATTATTTTAATTAAGTACAGTATTAAAATGCGACTAGCAAAATATGATGGGGTTTTTATATAAAGTGTTTTGAGTATAAAATAACGCTATTTAAACTTTTATTTTCTCTCGATCATACATACGGAGATAGCTCATTAATATAAACAGTGAATTACGAAGATAATTAGACAAGAATGATTTTAATTAAGTACAATATTAAAAATGCGATTAGCTAAATATGATGTTTTTTTATATACATATATAAAGTGCTTTGATTATAGAATGAATGCTATTTACACTTTTATTTTCTCCCGATCATAGATACGGAGATAGTTCATTAATAGAAAAAGTTCATTTACAAAGGTATTTAGACAAAAATTATTTTAATTAAGTACAATATTAAAAATATTTGACTAGATGTTTGTTTTATATATGGGTCATTCTCACAAAAACAGTCATTTTCATGTCCCCAGTATATTTTATGTTTGTTTTACAACTTACGAAAAAAAAATTCAGGGAAAGTGTCCTTCAGAATGCAGGCTGCCAAAAGAATAAAAATGAAATTATCAATTTTTATTTTTTATTTATTTTAGGTAATTAAAATATACCAATATGTCATTCCCTCAATTGTCCCCACTGTTGATTTAAAAAAAGAAAAAATTGTTTCTGAAATAAAAATAAAAAAAATTACAAATTCGTGTTTTTTATTTCAGACTATTGAAATATAGAATTCGAAAAATCAATTATAAATTTAATTTCTGATAAAAATATTAACATAGCACTATTTTAAACTTTGTCCCTAGTGTTTCGCGTCATTCCCTCACAATCTTCTCGGAATAAAAATATTTTAATAAAAACTTTAGCAGTTAACAACTGGCATCATAGAACAAAATTGCAGTATGTTTCCATCTTTAACTTAAAGAAGCTTTGCTATGGAATAAATTTGAATGAATCCAACCAGGAAAAAATTTTTACGTTTGTCATTCCCTCATGTCGTTTTTTAGAGTAAAATAAAATACAACTTCATCGAGAAAGTGGATAATTATATGTTGCTTTCTTGTATGAATATAATGGTATGCGATTGATTTCAGAAATTAATTAGGCCTAACTGGTATTTTTAAATTTTATTAAATTTGTCATTCCCTCACTAGTGTATAAAGTGAGGGAATGATGCTGAAGTGAGGGAATGATTCAAGATGAGTATATTATTAAAAAAAAATTTGTTCAATCTAGCCAGCCAATTTTATTTTCCAAACCTTTAAAAACTATTAAGTATATAAAACTAAATTATAATAAGTGTTAGATATACTTAGTATGTTATCATTTTCAAACTTGAGGTAGCTGTAACTTAGAGAAAAACATGTATTAAAATAAAATATCATT